TCAAATGCACCAAATGTGGAAGCAAGCTCGCCCCCAGAAATGGACATTCATTGTGCCTATTGTGCCTGGGGGAAGCCCACCATACAGATTTGTGCAGTCACTGTTCCAGATTTTCTCGACAAGCTCGAAAAAACCGAGCCACAAGACTGAAATCGGCATTAATTGAGTCGGCCCTCTTTCCGACACTGAAGAGTGGCAGAAGGCGACATCGGACAATTGGGTACTCTCAATCATTGCCAACGGATACATGATAGAATTCCAGCAGACACCTCCAGTCGTCAGCACCCCTCCTTCCCAGGCCCTCCAGGACAAGGTCCACAGCCTTCTAGCAAAAAATGCCATTGAACCTGTCCCTCCCCAGTTCAGGGGCCAGGGGTTCTATTCTCGGTACTTCACAATCCCAAAGAAGGATGGGGGCCTTTGACCCATCATGGATCTCCAGTCCTTAAACGATTTTATTGTCTATCACAAATTTCAAATGGTCTCTGCAAAGTATTCTCCCACTTCTCAAACCAGGAGCCTCCAGGATGCATACTTTCACCTCAACATGCAAAGTATTCTCCCCACTTCTCAAACCAGGAGCCTGGATGACCACACTAGACCTCCAGGATGCATACTTTCACCTCAACATCTGGCCACCTCATCAACAATTCCTGAGGTTTCTGATCAGGACCAAACACTACCAATGCAAAGTACTCCCTTTCGGAATTTCCACCGCCCCATGAGTCTTCACGAAGATGACGGTGTTGTCGCAGCTTACCTGTGTCTGTAGGGGACACTCGTATTTCAATACATAGGTGATTGGCTACTGGTGGCAGACTCAAAAGTCAACATGGACAGAGACATCTGTCTCTTGGTCTGCAGGTCAACCATAAGAAGTCCCATCTCATACCTGCACAGAGTGTACACTTCATTGGAGCAGTTATAGACACCATGGTCGGTCAAGCCTTTCTCCCAGGGGAAAGGGCCGCAGTGATAATTTCTGCAGTTCTCAGTCTTCAGGTAAATCCATGTACGACAGCCTTAGCAGTACAACAGTTGTTAGGGATGATGGCAGCAGTGACAGCAGTCCTCCCCTTTGCCAAACTTCACATGCGAGTACTCCAGATGTGGTTATTGCGGCACTCCCAGCCATTGAGACAGCTCCAATTAGTGACGCTTCTCATTCCACCCTACATTCTATGGTCACTTTCCTGGTGGGAACACAAACCACATCTCCTGGTGGGCACCCCGTTTCAGCTCCCTGTGCCGTCGGAAACCCTGACCACAGATGCCTCCCTGTGGGGGTGGGGTGTGCATCTGAGAGGCCTTTGTGTAGGGGCCAAATGGGATCCACAATATCAACACTGCCACATAAATTACCTGGAGCTTCTTGCAGTCAGGTTTGTGGTTCAGTCATTCAGAACCCTCATACAAGGGAGGGTGATCGCCGTGCTCACCGACAACACCACTGCTCTAAACTGTCAACTGACAGGGCAGCACGGTATCCAGGAGTTTTTGCATGTTGGCAGTGGACCTTTGGCTTACATGCATCAGCTGGGGAACATTCCTGGTAGCCATGCATCTCCCAGGAATTCAAAATGTGCAAGTAGATCGTTCGAGCAGAGGGGGAGCTTTGTGGCACAAATGGGAGCTCGACATGAAGTATGTGCTTCCCCTGTTCGAAACCTGGGGTTTCCCAGAGGTGGATGTCTTCGCGACATGGGAGAATCAGAAGTGCCACCTATTTTGCACCAGGGGAGGTAGGCTGGGAGATGGATTCTCCTCCCGTGAATGGACCATTTTCTGTTTCTGTCCCCCCCCCCCCTTATGACCAGGGTCATGAACAAGTTCTTCAGAGATCTGCCGAACTGTATTCTGATAACTCCATGGGGGCCCAGACAGGGATGGTTCCTGGTACTCCTGAAGCTTTCCCGGGGACAACATTACTCCCCCCTCCTGCTCCGAACCTACTCGTTGTGGGTGGACGGATATCTCACCACGACGTGCCTCACCTGAAGCTCACAGTGTGGAAGATCTTCCTCAACCCTTCTCAGATAGAGTGATAGGAGGTCATCCACAATAGCAGGAAGCCGTCTACCAGATGCTCCTATGAGTACAAATGTAACAAGTTTGTGAGGTTCTCGGCGGCTTACCACAGACCCCCAGAAACCAGTAAGCTTTCCTGTGTGTTCGAGTTTCTGCTCTCCCTCATTGACGCAGGATTGAATTATTCCTCAGTACGGGTCTGCTTAGCAGCCATTACGGCACACCACCGTAGATTGTTTCTCAGTTTTCAACCACCCACACTCTAAGCATTTCCTTGGGATTGCTACATTGGCACCCCCCGCGGAAATTGCCTGTTCCAGATTGGGACCTCCCTCTAGTGTTGCAAAAACTAATAAGTAAGCCATTCGAACCTCTAGCCACTTGTGATGTCCGTCTGCGCGGAGGGTGGGGGAGTTGGTTGCCCTCCGACATGATGTGCCTTACCTTCGCTTTTCCAGTTAACAAGGGCAGTCCAGTTTCTACTGAAGGTGGTGTCAGATTTTTATCTCCACTCCGAAATGTTGCTTCCGGATTTCTTCCTGGATCCTAAGAATGATAGGGAGCAGATGCTTCACTCATTAGATGTGAAACAAGCTCTCTTATTTTACCTCCACCGAATGTGACAGTTCCATAAGGACCCACATCTCTTTATTGCCTATGGACAACAGAAACAAGGTCAACGCACCTCAGCTCAGAGACTCTCAAGATGGATTGTGGAAACAATCAAGCTGTTTTACCTTCTGGCTAAACAACCCTTACCACAGGTCATCAGGGCACACTCCACCCGGGCGATGGCTTCCCCTACTGCCTTTTTGAAAGGGATACCGCTGCATGACATTTGGAACGCAGCGACGTGGGGGACCCCAAATTCTTTCATTCGTCACTACGTTCCGGATGTTTGTGCCCGCCGGGGGGCTCCAGTGGGACGATTGGTCCTTCGGTTGGTGTTTGACTGAGTAGCTGACAGCATCCTCCAGTAAAACCTAAGCTTGCTACTCTCCCACAGGTGTGATGCAGAGACCATGAAGAAGATAAACAGGTTGCTTACCTGTAACTGATGATCCTCGAGTGGTCATCTGTGCATTCACACCCCCTGCCTGGACTTCCCCTCTGCTGTCTGCCTGCTCAATATTGCGTTAGGTTTTTCAGCGGTCAGAAGGAACTGGCGGGAGACCCAGGCTCCAGCCGTGTAGGCATGTGCCGTGAGGGCCCTGAGTGTGCCTTGGGGGCAGAGCGTGGGAAGAGGTTTCTTTTGGCTTATTAAGTTACCGATGGGTCAGGCACAGGTGCCATTTATCCCACAGGTTTTAATACACAGGTGACCACTCGAAGATCATCAGTTACAGGTAAGCAACCTGTTTTTATTAACTATGAAGGAAGCACAAATAATAATCAGTGGTGTTCCAAAGTAGGCATACTTGGATCAGTGAACATTTATGTAATTGCCTCATATAGAATTCAGGTAGTTGGTGAAAACACTCTAAATTTGACTACTTCATAAACCAGAATGGAGCTGTATTTCAAAGGCCTTACTTAGTTTGGTTGTTTAATGATGAAATGGGGTACAAGGAGGATGAGAAACTTGTCTTCTTCAGTCTTGGCTTTTCTTTATGCTTTCAGATGTTTTATATTGAGCAGGAATACAGATGTGTTAAAACACAGTTTTGGAGGTTTGGGATTTAAAAAACAAACATATGACCAGATAGAAGTTTCCACAGATTGCTCCTTGACTTCAGTAAGACTTCGGTAAAGGTGTAAAGGTTTCCCTTGCTCGAAAGTTAGTCGAATTTGACTCTAGGGAGCGGTGCTCATTTCCTTTTTTTTTTTTTGAATAATCTTTTTATTAATTTTCACAAAGAAAATAACAATCTATCTTACATATTTAAACACATCAAGAAAAATATATCGTACTGGCAATGTTAAGTTAATTCATCTTTCTATTATGGTTCTACTTCCATCAAGTTTTTCAAATCACTTTTTCCATGTTTCTTTAAGTAGCTCCCCTATTTCATTTCAAAAAGTTATCTAAGTTAACAAATTGATAATAATAATTTCCTATAAATATTTAATTACTTTCCTTCTTATGGAGCTAGATTTACACTTATCCATATCTACTTTCCTATAAAAATCATTTATGAGCCATTCCATTGCAAGAAATTTGATAATTTGAAACCTGTCCGAATTTAAATATATCCACATGGTCCAGATTGTATCAACCTTAATATTCCACCCACTTATAATATGATATAATATGATATACACCCAAAACATCCATTTCAAACAATCATCATAGTTGCAATCACTTGCACCCTTTAAAATAAAAACCAGTACAAATGGTCTGCCACAAAGAGGGATTATACCCTGTAAGTTCTTAGCTATTTTTTCCCTATGGCATTTTACTTATAATTTTCCATTTAATAATAATAATCAATAAATTAAATAGGATTGAATAAACAAAAAAAGGTACCTAATACTCCCATCACTTTCCTTCTTATTTCTAATAATCCAAAAATTCTAAATCACCTTATTATAACTACTGTTTGTTACCAACATAGAATCCAAACTTAAACCCCTAACTACTATTTCATTATTACCCATCCATATATTACTCATACATTACAACACCCCGACACAAAAACACTTCGACAGAACCAATTGCCAAGTCTCAACCATCTTTTCCCACACTTCCAGCTCAATCTACTCCTATACCAAAAACTCTCAACAATATCCATTCCCTTCATAAAAAGCTGTTATTTATCAAATATGTAAGTTATATCATAGCTCATATTCTTGTCCCAAATTCTTTCTCCAGCTTTCTGTTTCCTTCCTCTTTTTTTCAATCTCTGTTCTATGCCGCAAATTTTTGAACTCTTGTGGACTTGATTTCAAACTTTCCCTTTTTTCTTTTCCATAATTCATTTGCCCTTCTTTTATATGGTTTAGGCTTCTTTCCACAGTCAGCTCCTTTTTTTTATTCACCTTCTTTTTCTTTTTTGCAACAGTTTTTAGGGAATGTCCATTTTTCCTATCTTTTTTCCTCTTTAATCTTAGTAGATCGCTTCGATAATGTCCTTTGTAAATATCTATCCCATCCACCAGCTTCTGTGTGATGAGAGTCCTCTGTGTGATGAGAGTCCTCTGGCTCCCTCTCCTGGCAACAGTCCTGTATTGCAGCTAGATCTTGTAAATGCAAATTAAGTTCTTCCTTGCTTTCTGTATCTACGTGTTTATTTTGAGTTTCTTTAGACAAGTCCTTGCAAATGGTTTCCACTGCTTGTTTAATGCTGTTTGACAAGTCCTTGCAAGCGGTTTCCACTGCTTGTTTAATAGTACTTGATAAGAATCTTTTGAGCTGGTCATAAGTAAGGTCTCCTAGTGGGGTATTTAAGTCTACCTCGTCTTCCTCTGTCGTCGCCATTTTCTGCCTCCACCTTAAATAATATTGTAAACTTTGAACACAAAAGCAGTCAACTAATGTTGGACAAATTTAGTTGTGCTATAATTCGTATTTTTAGCCAACAGTTTTCTGACAAGCCAGCTTTTCCTTTCTCTTTCCTTCTCCTTCCTTGCTTCTACAACACTCACTCCCCCCCCCTCCAGTCCTTCAATAGCTGCTTTATCCAACACTCGGGGGATAACAACAGAGTTCTTGGCTCAAAATTGCTTCTAGGATAGCATGAAAAGACGTGAAAAAATTATTTCGATGTGTTACTTGCCCTTGGTGAGATTAAAAACAGACGGTTGGTCGCTGCTTTAGGAGGCATGGATCCGAGTCTCCCTGTCTCCTCCCTTCTTCGTCCTTGCTTCTGGGGCACAGCGTCAACACTCCCGCAATCGCCATCAGCGGGAGTCGACGCAGGTGGAGCGGTGCTCATTTCCGTTTCCAAGCCAAAGAGCCAGCACTGTCTGAAGACATTTCCGTGGTCATGTGGCCGGCATGACTAAACGCCAAGGTGCATGGAACGCTGTTACCTTCCCACTGAAGCGGTACCTATTTATCTACTTGCAACAGGAGCTCACTCCATCCCATGGCACGTGGGTCTCAAACTGACCTTCCGGTCTGCAGCTAAGCGTCTTAACTACTGAGCCACCACGGCCCCTCAGTAAGACATAAACAACTTTAAATACAGGACTGCTGCCTTGGTTATCCTTTGTTCAAAGGGTTAAAGGTTCATGAAGTCTGGCTTTTATAAAGCCTTCTGTTTAGGGTGATAGAAGCGAAAAGATTGGCAGCTTTGGTTTGGGATCCTGCATTTGCCTTGGTGAATTCTAAAAATTTTCTTGTGAAAAATGAGAAACTATATCCAGTTAAGTTCCACAGATATGCTGGGTTGGATCTCATGGATCCATCCCACTAATGCTTTCATTCAGCATAAGAAATCTTTCCCTGATGCAAGAGTAAAGGAAGCCACATTGTATGATGTGAACTATAATTTATAATGGAGAATCATTACTTGGAGAGGAATAGTTACTTGTTGAGGACTTTAAACATCACATGGCAAAATGACAAGCCACTAAGAGGTAGTAAAATGTTGAACTGTCAGAAAGTTTACTAGCTGTAGCAAGAATATTGTCATTCTGAGGCAGTTTGCAGAATTTCAGGATGCTAAATCATATGCTGATACCAAACTCCATGTTTACATGGGAGGCAATGTAGAAACCTTTATTATTTGTTTTGCTTATTGTTAAATATGAAGGAAAGGATCATGTCTCATTAAACATATAGTGAGGAAAACATTATCTGTTCATTCTGTTTTGATTTACATTTGCTTTGCCTCTTCCTATAATTCCAATAGCATCAGTAAACCTCCTAAAATATTTTTAAGATACCTCTTAAATCAGGGCAGTATTAGGGATGGTATTTTATTTTTGATATCTTCATTGTTGTCTTATTTTTTACTTATTTTATTAAATAGGTGGGACAATGGTGAAACAGAACGACTTAGTCCATGGGATATGGAACCAGTTCCTGAGAATGGTATGCATAAATCATTATCAGTTTTACTTGAGACAGATTTGCACATAGATGAAATAATTAAGGTAGTTTCATATATTCTGGAGAAGGAGTAGCAGCACAGCTTTTTGCACTGCTTAGATAATATGACCTCCCTGAGTTTGATGTATCACTTCAGTAGTTTATTCAGAAAAAAAAATTAAAAGGGTTGCTTTGCATTCTCCCCAACGTCACTGTTGCACAGATCAGTATCTGATGTGGCAACTGGTTGGGAGAAAAGTGGAAGGTGAAGAATCCTGAGCTGAAGAAATGGTTTAGTGGTTAAGCATTCTCTCTTTTCTCCTCCACCCATCCTCACACATTTTCTTTTGTTCAAAACAGCAGCCTTCCTCGGTTGCTTGGGCTCTGTTCATTTGTCAGTGTTTGAAAATAGTCCATGGAAAGATGCACAAAACTGCATGTGTAAAAGCTGGGGAAGATGCCATTAAAAAGCTGCGAGATTGATTAGTGAGGTAGTTTTATATTTGAGAATTCATACTCTTCATATACCCCCTTCAAGCCCTCATTGTACTACATTACTGATCAATAGATTTTAATTTGAGCAGGATACCTGAGTTTTTCTGTTGCAGCAAAATTAAGTAGAAGTCCAGTGGCATCTTAAAGACTGCAAAATCTATTCCAGCATAAGTTTTCATTCATCAGAGCTCACTTTATCAGAAACATGGTGTGTATCTCTAAAGGAAATAAATTTATTCTTAAAAAGTTGCAAGCAACAGAAAGGTGGAAGTAGGGAGATAAAGTTAGAAACAATAACCAACCAAAGAGAATTCAGTCTATTCAAAGCAGGTGAGTAACACTGAGGCCTGCAGCCACGGGGGGAGGGGGGATTTGGGGGCGACGCCCACTACAGATGAGCCCACCCAGGAGGATGCCAGACCCACCCCACCCCCGGAGTGCCTCGCTCCTTACCCCTGCCCACTTCAGCCTCGCTGGCTCTTCCTGCTGCTGCCGGATTTGGGGGGGGGGAGAAGGCAGTCAGGCAGGGGAGAATGGCTCACCCCCTACCATATTGCACAAATCCTTTTTGTCTTCCACAACTCCAGGAAGATGGATACAAAAATTGAATCCATTGACAATCCTGGGCAAATGTATAAATAACTATACCCAGTTGCAGAGTCTCTCTGCCTGTCTGCCTGTCTCTGGTTTTGTCTTCTAATGCCGATTTCAAGCATCCCCCTGCCTACTACGCATTGCCTTTCTCCCCCCCCCCCCCCCCCCCCTCTGTTTCCTCACCACCTTCCACACCAGCACAGAGAGTGCGGTGGGCCAGAGCACAGCTGCTAATTATAGCCCAAGAGCCGGACCATTCATAATTCATGTATGCTCAGAAAGATATCACAGAGAAGAGCCAGCAGGCCCGCGCTTCAACCCAAGGCTGCTCCATTGTGCAGAGAAAAAGTCTTGGCAAACCCAGCTTGCAATAGGCTTTTCTGCTCATTGTTTTCTGTGTCTTTCTTGGGGTTTTTTGCAAACAAGAATTGCAACTGATTCGGCCTGCCAATCATCTGGTCACCACGTCGACGCACATGGCTACGGGGGTGGTAGCACTACCAACAATAGGCTTCTACATACAGTTGGCAGTAGGCTAAACAAAATCAGATCTAATCCAAGAAAGGTACAGTGTGACAGAAGCCAAGCAAAACTAATTAGCATTTGTAAAGGCTTGGTCATGTTGAACTATTAGCACCTATGGTGTGTGAGGAAACTCTCTTGATCAGACTAGGATTAGACATAGGATCCTTACATAATCATATCATTTTAAAGTGGAAGCTCCACCAGTATGTTCACCTTGTGATTAATTACAGTTAAGGAAGTTTGGCTTCAGTGGCTGCTCTTCTTTCTTTCTTTCTTTTTTGCCCCCCCCCCAATAGGGGATTTTTTAATTTGCATTTTCTAAAAACTACAACGAAATTAGGGAGGGGATCTACAACTATAGGAGAAAGAAAAGAAAACCCACTAAAAACCCAGGAGTTGGAGGTCATACATTGCTTATGAAAGTATTAGCTTAACAATATAAAAGTTGCTTTTCTTGACATTGAGAGTGGTCAATCATTATCATCAATTATGTTAACAGACCTCAAATCTGACTATATAAAGAGCATTCCAGGATAATCGCTAGTTCACTTAAACTCCTTTTGGCAACGGCCCGAGTGCTGGGATGGGAGTGCAGAGGGTTTGTCAGAGAGGATGGGTCCTTTACTTCCATACCTGGCATGAATCCCACAGATTAGGGAATCTCACAGTTTACCCATCTTCCAGTCCCTGTGGCAGCAGCTGTTTCAGGGTGAGAACCACCTGCCAACCACCATGACCTTGCTCATTTTCCTGGAACGGGGTGGGTGCCACCCCAGGGAATACTGTCCCAAAGAGCCACACGTGGCTCCTAAGCCACTGAGTGAGTGGAAATTCAACAAACAGAAATAGAAATGTGCAAGCAGGGACTCATGAGAAATTCACTGGGAGACTCCCCACTGCCGCCAGGAGGGGAAAAGGAGGACAACTTGGAGAGGCAGTCACTGACCACAGGCTCGCTGCCTGTGTTCAACAGTCAGAACATCAAGGTGGGGGCTGCCAGGATGTAAGGGCTAGCTGTGGAGTCACAAGCTCCTTCCCAGCCCTAACACTTTTGGCACAGAGTGCCTTCTGGCTATGGCCAACCTTTTCTTTCACCTCTTGGAAGGTAGAAGGAGGAAGTGGTAAAAAGGAAGGATTGGGAGGGAGGGTAGTGGCGGTAACCCATATACCGTGGTATTCACTGCCCATTTTCCCGTTTGCCCTCCTGTTTTCCACATAGTAGTAGAGGGTGAAAGAAGGGGAAGGCAATGACAGCATCCCAAACATTGCCTGCACTCAGCACCCGAATTCCCCAGTTGCCCTTTCCTTTCCAGTATGCCCTCCCCTTCCCGAGCAGCTGAGATCTCCTTTTCACAGCTACTGCTTGCCTGCCTTCTCTCCTGCAGAGGGACAGGAGTTTGGGAAAGCTTCCTCTCTGCCCTCACCTCATCATCATCCATGCTCACCCTGGATATTGTCTGAACCTTTGCAGACAGTGCTTCTTGTGAGCCCCTCCATTTTTTAAAAAAGCATGTTTCTGCAAACCTGGAGGTTCCTGTAGAAAAATAATCCTTGACTCTACCTGGCTTCATTCTCTGGGCTTTTTTATATCGGGGCTAGGTTCAGAATTATGTGATTATTCTTGAGTAAATGGCTTTCATTGATTTAAAATTTTTGTTCCATAAGTGTATAGTTTATTACATTTACTACATTTGGTTTTGTTCTCCTAATACTATTTTATTGTTTGTTGTAAATAAGTAGTTGATCAGCCTAAAGAATTAGGAGCCAGTGTTTCTGTGACTACAGAAGAAATGGCAAAACTATTGTACATGCCTCAGAAAGGGGAGTGGCAGGGAAAACCCCAAAGTGAAGAATGTGAACGGATTATTCATGGAATCGATCAACTTTTGAAACTTGGTAAGGATATAGAAATCTGATTTCTTTCACTATAAATATTTCTGTATTTAGCAGATTGAAGATTTAGAATGATAAACTGCAAGTTTATTCAGTTTCTCCCACTTTTTCTAAAACAAGATTTAATGAATTGTTTTTATACTGCAGTAATAATATATAAATCAGTGTGCTAATTTAGCTACTTCAGTTGATTGAAATCACTGTTTTGACAGATATTTCAGCAGCATTTGCTGGTCCAGTTGATCTGAATACATATCCAAAGTACAGTACAGTAGTAGCTTATCCAACAGACCTTTGGACTATTCGGACAAGACTAGTCAACCAGTTTTACAGGTTAGTCTGATTTAGTACTAGAGAGAAAAAAGCATGTGTGTCTTGCAAAATTTCTGCAATTCCTTACAATATGTTTGACTAATTGGTACTTTTCCAGCTCCCTTTAACTTTAGTGGATATCCAGAATACTTACAGTACAATCCTTTTGGTTCCAATGGATTTAGACTGGTATAACTGTGTAGGATTGTCCTGTGAAGAGGGATATATAGATAAACCTAGTTTGTGTGCTCAAATGCTGTATATCTTGTATCTGTTTTCATTTGGAAGTTTCCAAAGGCCTTTTTCTTAGCATCTAATCAGTCTTCAGAGATTGCTTGGATACAGTTCTTGGGTTTACCACAGTATCTCAGGGTTTTCATATTCCAAAAAAGCATTTAGTTAATCAGCATCATAGAGGGCCTGCTGTCATCAGATCTTGCACTTCCATGGTTATCATTATGCTATCAAAAGCTCTAAATGGGGTAGTTTTCTAGTGGTTTGGAGGTGTAGGGCCACATCTGTGCTATCCACAAATATGGAATATTAAACATTATACCTGCAATGTAACATTATAAAAATAAATTCAAGGTGGCTGGTGAGTGAAATAAGAAGAATAAGGCTTTCCGGAAGTCAGAGTGTGAAGGATGCTGATGTACTTTTGCTTGTATTGAGCAAGACAGTTTTATCCTTTTAAAGAGAACATGAAAAAAAGGAAAACTGGGATCCTTTAACTTATTAGAAATCTCTGGTTTTGATGCTGAGGGCATTATGTTTGTTTCCCATGGCTGTTAAACTGTTCTTTTTACTTACTGTTGAATATAGGAGGATCTCTGCATTGATTTGGGAAGTAAGGTGTATTGAGAGCAATGCCAGGACCTTTAATGAGCCCAACAGTGCCATCACTAGGTCTGCTCAGAAGATCACAGATCATCTCTTAGAATTCATACAGTAAGTAGTATTTAATAAGAAGTATTAGTAAACTTGCTGCTTTATAATTGCCCCACTACCTGTAATTAAACATGTCTTCTGTTTGCTATTGAGAGTAGCTAAAGGCTTTAAGTAAACACTAACTTGTAAATAGGTGGAAAAATGTTTGGGTCCAGGGGCACCTTTAAAACCAACAAAGTTTTATTCAAAGTATAAGCTTTCATGTGCACGCACACTTCTTCAGATACATTGAAATGGAAGTTGTCAGTCTATAAATATAGGTAGAGAGTGAGCATGCAGCTTAATAAAGTTGTTTTGACAGATGCAAGGACCAAACTGGAATAACAAGCTTAGTTTATATGGTCACCATTTCTTTTGGTTTAAGTCCGGGAGGAGACATAGTGAAGGAAATAAATAGGTATACTCCTAAGATATTATTGATAAAGTGACACAAATTGAGGAACAAAACATACTTTTTTCTTTTTTGTAGTACTGACTATGGTGTTATACCCAGTGAACCATAAAGGGAGCTACTTTCACAGAATGGACTTTTGTGTTGTCCCTGGAATGTCCTGGGTATGATATGGTTGTGACTTTGTGGAACATAATATTTTTATTTTCCAGGAATCCTAATTCTATGGATATTTTTGAGCTGTGCATTGCAACAAACAATGAGGATAGCACTGATGCTGATGATCTGGTAATGATTCTTTTCTGTGCAGTGAACTATTAGCTTAATCTTCCTCTATTTTGCTGTTTCTTTATCAAAACGTCCCCTCACCTTCACCTTAGTGACACTAGTATGTATTCACTTTTGTAAGCTTACTTACCATGATGTTTTTTGGTACAACTCCATAAATGATGGTTTTTAATGGGCTTATCTGATCTGTGTTGCAGGACGATGAAGAGACATATATACCAAGAGCACCTTCCAGAAAAGTAAGTTGTTGTGCTTTAACCTAACTTTTTTCCTGATTTAGAAGATATTAGCATTCTAGTAGTAATGCTAATAGAAGAATGTTAAATACTACCTTATTCAAGTTATAGTCCACTGTATTTGAATGGCTTGATTAGGAAATTTCCTTAAAATAGTCTTTATGCTTAGTAACACTATATTTCTGTTTTTATAGAGATGGGCTTTGAAGAAGACAATGGTGAAACCCAGCTATGATGAAAATAGTTGGAAGAAGCAATGTATGGAACTTGTAAATTTAATTTTCCAATGTGAGGATTCTGAGCCATTTAGACAACCTGTTGACCTGGATCAGTACCCTGTAAGTTATTGGTCATTAATATTAATTTTAACATGTTTCAGTTTATAACTGTGTTTATATAAGGCTTTCCTGTTTCTCTTTACTGGAGTGTTATAAGGTAGGTTACACTGAGATCTTAGTTGCCTTAGACTACTGCATAAGCTATATAATTAAGTAGAGAGATATATATTCTCGTTAAGGAAATATGACCATTTCTGTTTTTTAGGCTGAATGTGCTAATTAAAAAAGGTGACTCTATATCAGATAAATCCAGAATAATGTCTCTAAATTTACCACTCTATTTATACACAAACATTGAAATGGATGGGGGAAGGCCCATAGCTACAGTGGGGCATTTCAGAGCCTGGCCCCCTGACTTCCTATCCATCCCAACCCCCCCCCCAACTTTCACTTTTTAATTTTATTTGTGCCACTCCCTTTGGGGGGTGTGCAGGGTGCCCCCCGACTTATTTAAAGCCCTCCCCCCAATTTTAAAATCCTGGCTACGGGCCTGGATGGGGGGGATAAACTTTTCCTTCTTTGATGATCTCCATGAATAATAGATCTTCGAAATATTTTAAGGAGGGATACTTACTCTTGATTGTGGTCCTATCCCTATGGACTACTTATCACATTTAGATACCTATAAATTTAGGAAAGCCTTTACACTAGCCAGATGTGAGGCTCTCCCCTCCATGGTACTTGAGGGTAGATACAGAAGGGTCCCATTTGACCAGAGACGCATCTGCCAGTGTGATTCTGGGGAGGTAGAAACCATCGAACATATGATGTTTAGATGCAACTGGTATAATAAGGCTCGAGATAAATATATCACAACTTTTGTAAAAGAAACATCTGGCCAAACAGACTGGGAGCGCTGTAAACGACTGTTATCTGATGAAAATTGGATTATTACTGAATCTGACTAAATTTTGGGTGGCATGCTATCTCATTAGAAATGTACAGCTAAATTTATAAAATTGTTTTTGCCCTTTTATATTTCTTACTGGATTTGTAGTACATTTTTATGGTCATATATATATTTATTTATTGCATTTTACCCAGATATTTTATAATTTTATACCCAAACATGTCTTGCTTAATGTTTGGCATGATGCCGTAATAAACATACTACTACTACTACTACTACTACTACTACTACTACTGATTTAGAGATACTGAGTATATGCCCCACAACTACTAGAAACACAGGAAAAATGAAGATGAGATTTTGGGGGGATGTAGGGTGGATTCTAGAAACATAGGAAATGTCAAGGACGATATGTAGAGTAGAGTAGATTCTAACAGGCACTTGTATATCACAAAAGTGTGTTTCCATGGGTTGATTGCCTTCAAACACTTTCACAAAGGAATGATGATGGAAGAATGTGTGAGAGAAGAATGTTACTCTGGATTTGGGAAATCTGTGGAAATTTTGGAGAGTAGAAGAATCTTTGAATAGGAATCAGCACTCTTAGCTTCATTCATAATAAAGCAGCATGTTTAATCTTGATTTATATAGTTTTGCTTTTGTTTAATCCTCTCCTGTGTAAGAAAACCTTCACTCTTTCAGTGCCGGAGATTGCTCAAAACTCTTAAGTAATGGAGTTATATCTTATGCCACATTATGCAGGATTACAGAGAGATCATAGACACACCAATGGATTTGGGCACAGTGAAAGAGACATTAGAAGCTGGAAATTACGATACTCCAATGGAATTGGGCAAAGATATCAGATTAATATTTAGCAATGCTAAATCATATACCCCAAACAAAAGGTCCAAGGTAATCTTTTATATTGTTTACCATATTAGTCAAACCACATAAATTCCAGTTACATAATGGTTAAGAAAACAATTAAAAAAAACAGAGCCTAATGGTGAGTTAATGGACGGATGTCCTGGCACTACAAATGTTATTTCTGTAAAAAAGACTGATAGTATTTCTGTTAAAGATACTGATTTATACCAAGAGGTATAGCTTGATTTCTAATTGCAAAGTAATTTTAAAGAAACAATGTATTTTAGGGGGGGAAACTGTCCAAGACTGATCACAAGCTTGATATGGAGCAACACATTTTCCATGGTAGCCATGAAACTGCAAAATCATACATTTGTAGAGGATGAGTGCTTCTAGACTATTGTGGCCTGACTAGATGTGGCTGGGCCAGTAATGCAAATTAATCCACATAATCATTTATATATGGGGAGCAAGCCTTCCCCATCACCACCTTACCTTGTTGGCTGTGTAGTGCTTTCAACACTCTTCTTCCATCCCAGATCACTTCTGGTATCAGAGCTGTGCTGGGAGAAGAATGCTGAAAGTATCAGAAAATAATGAGGTAAGGTGAAGCAGGGTGCTGAGTTTAGCTTATCACTCCTCCTCATTTTAAAAACAAATTTCAAATAGACTTTAGATATGTGTGGGTGGACATTTGAATAATCTCTCAGAATAAAGAAATGATAGGTAAATTGAAGGAGCTTTTATTGAAGAAAAAACTACTGGAAGAAATCTTGGTGATTAACTTTGAACACATGCTGTCTTATACAGAGTCAGATCATTAATCCATCACACAATCAGTATTATTTATAGCAGCTCTCCAGGACCTCAGGTTAGAGGTTTTTGACCTGATCTAACTGGAGATGCTAGGAGTTGAATCTGGGACCTTCTGCTTATTAAACAGATGCTGTACTGCTGAGCGACGGTTTCACCCCTAATATTTTATAAACATAGGTAAGAGATGTTGGCCAATTGGTGTAGGATGAATGTAGATTTGCACTACAATTTTTTTTACAAAAACTTCAGTAGCACTTTCATGCTTGACTTAAGGAAAACTGTAATGAAGTCAGATTCCATAAGACTTTGAAGGAGTCTAGTGAGATGTTTTCTTCATACCTGGTGGGCACTGGTTTTGATTAAAACTTTTTGAAAAAGGTATTAGATATAACAAGAGGGGGAACCGCGATACTCGCGGGGGAGGGGGGGAGAAGAGCTCCGTCTCCTCCATCCCCCCCATCTCCCCGCGGCGGCGGCGTGGCCGGTGTCC